CGATCGTACTGGATTATTTTTTACCCCCAAATAAGAAGAAAATGTATCAAATAGTGAGATTGTCAGAACACAGAATTCAGGAAAATGGTGTAGCGTTGGTGTCCGCCATTATATTCTACAGAATGAAGGGCAGGAGCACCAGGATCCATACCAGACCGCACTGCTGTCAATCCTCCAATCACCAGGAGCCTGCATACGTGACTCCGCCTACAATATATACATTGCAACACCCTGAACTTATTAACTGCTCACTGATTCATCATAGATCACCATGGCAACACAAAACTGACACAGAGGCCTCCAGTGACTCACAATTGGCCGATTGTTGGACGTTTAGTCACTGACAGAGGTCACATGACCTCTTCAAGTGTGTACAACCAGAATTAAAAGTTCACTCCACCCACATAGAGCAACATCGCCCTGCAGAGTCAAGGCCGCCCCAATGGAGCAACATCGCCCTGCAGAGTCAAGACTGCCCCAATGCCCCCCCAATAGAGCAACATCACCCTGCAGAGTCAAGGCCGCCCCAATGGAGCAACATCGCCCTGCAGAGTCAAGACTGCCCCAATGGAGCAACATCCCCCTGCAGAGTCAAGACTGCCCCAATGGAGCAACATCGCCCTGCAGAGTCAAGACTGCCCCAATGGAGCAACATCGCCCTGCAGAGTCAAGACTGCCCCAATGGAGCAACATCGCCCTGCAGAGTCAAGACTGCCCCAATGGAGCAACATCGCCCTGCAGAGTCAAGACTGCCCCAATGGAGCAACATCGCCCTGCAGAGTCAAGGCCGCCCCAATGGAGCAACATCGCCCTGCAGAATCAAGGCCGCCCCAATGGAGCAACATCGCCCTGCAGAGTCAAGACTGCCCCAATGGAGCAATATCGCCCTGCAGAGTCAAGGCCGCCCCAATGGAGCAGCATCGCCCTGCAGAGTCAAGACTGCCCCAATGGAGCAGCATCGCCCTGCAGAGTCAAGGCCGCCCCAATGGAGCAATATCGCCCTGCAGAGTCAAGGTTGCCACATTAGAGTAACATTACCCTGCTATTCAAAATGAACGGCAATGCATGTGTTTGCAGCAACAGTAAAATGCGCATTTTACGGTACATTAACGTGATGCAGAAAGTAAAACAGAAATCTAGGGGTGGAGTTGGTCTTTAATTAAAGGAGAACTCCGGCCTGTGGGATCTGGGTAAGTTGAGCTGTAAGCTGTTTAGAAATTGGCTGCAATTTATATTATATTCATAGAACTGGACTTCACCCGGGGGGGTTGGGGTATCTGTGCCCATCCACTAACTGGCAGAGTGCGGTGCCAGGCCTTCTCCATGGACACCCGCTAACACAGCGTACACAGAGCCTGCTAATTGGCTGATAATCTACAGCTCAGGGACACAGCAGTTGTCACAGTGTGACTGATACCCAGATCCCGGAGCTGTACTTCATACACTGACCTGCAGGGGTCTCTAGTGAGCAGATTTAGGCTGACACTGCAAAAACTGCTTTAACAGCACAGCCCTCCACCCAGAACTGATATATCAGTCTCCCACCATCCCTTTCTGAGCTCCGGGGTCTGTACACCCGCTGTGCCCATTATGAGGGGCCCCCACCATCCCTGTGCTGAGTTCCCGGGTCTGTACACCTGCTGTGCCCATTATGAGGGGCCCCCACCATCCCTGTGCTGAGTTCCCGGGTCTGTACACCTGCTGTGCCCATTATGAGGGGCCTCCACCATCCCTGTGCTGAGTTCCTGGGTCTGTACACCTGCTGTGCCCATTATGAGGGGCCCCCACCATCCCTGTGCTGAGTTCCCGGGTCTGTACACCCGCTGTGCCCATTATGAGGAGCCCCCACCATCCCTGTGCTGAGTTCCTGGGTCTGTACACCCTCTGTGCCCATTATGAGGGGCCCCCACCATCCCTGTGCTGAGTTCCCGGGTCTGTACCCCTGCTGTGCCTATTATGAGGAGCTCCCCCCATCCCTGTGCTGAGTTCCCGGGTCTGTACCCCTGCTGTGCCTATTATGAGGAGCTCCCCCCATCCCTGTGCTGAGTTCCCGGGTCTGTACCCCTGCTGTGCCTATTATGAGGAGCTCCCCCCATCCCTGTGCTGAGTTCCCGGGTCTGTACCCCTGCTGTGCCTATTATGAGGAGCTCCCCCCATCCCTGTGCTGAGTTCCCGGGTCTGTACCCCTGCTGTGCCTATTATGAGGAGCTCCCCCCATCCCTGTGCTGAGTTCCCGGGTCTGTACCCCTGCTGTGCCTATTATGAGGAGCTCCCCCCATCCCTGTGCTGAGTTCCCGGGTCTGTACCCCTGCTGTGCCTATTATGAGGAGCTCCCCCCATCCCTGTGCTGAGTTCCCGGGTCTGTACCCCTGCTGTGCCTATTATGAGGAGCTCCCCCCATCCCTGTGCTGAGTTCCCGGGTCTGTACCCCTGCTGTGCCTATTATGAGGAGCTCCCCCCATCCCTGTGCTGAGTTCCCGGGTCTGTACACCTGCTGTGCCTATTATGAGGGGTTCCCACCATCCCTACGACATCCATCCATCCATCATCAATGTTGACACACGAGAAGCCAGGGGATGACTATCACCCCAGGCTCCTTCTCAAACTGAAACCCTTTTCACCTACACTTGCTGCTTTAAATCAATTGCCGAGCAATCAGCAGTGGAACGTCGCTTTTTAACATGCAAATCACTTAAAGCAGACCCACGCTGGGTAAGAATTTGGTGGCCGCATAACTACATCTGACCCGCTTCTAAAAAATGCAAGATCCCCGTCATGTTCATCCTCTGGCTTCAACACTTGTGTCCCTGACCTGGAAGAAGCATGCGTGCAGCATTCCCTCTTCATGACAGGTGCTCTTTGGGTTCTAAGGCAGCTCCCCCATTTAATAGTTCTTCTCTATGCCTCGTTATGGGGGGTGTGGCCTCTGTAGAGAGGAGGCGGGGCTCTGATATTCTGCCTCCCCCCTCTTCTGGGAATCCCCCCCTCTCACCCCCCGGAATCCCCCTTCTCCTGTAGCGGGAAGATGATTCGGGGAAGGTCCCCAGGATCTGATCACTGTAATGGATCTGCAGAGCCCCGGGAAGGACAGCTGCCGATTCCCCCAAACCCGTCACTCCACAGAGAGAGGCGACTCAGAAGGCTCCCGAAATATTCAGTTTAAGGAGGAGCCACGCGGCTCCACCCGGATCAGAACATCGCCGTTCTGCTGGCCGTCGCATAATATAAACTGAGCGAGAAGCAGCTCCAACCCATAGGGACCGCTCGGCGGCAGCTCCCGTAAGTTGCTCCGTGATCGGCTGTCTTGATGACAGATTTGGGTATATCCCGGGAACGGAAAACCCTTCTGGGTCGGGGCGGGCCGCATTTAGTTTATGGTGGGGACGACTGGGGGGCTAAACCGTCAAATGGGCCACCAAGAGTTCTCGGGGTCCCCATTACGGGGGCTCCCATTAACGGGGGGGCTCCCTAGAACAGGAGGGGAGACACCCCAAGGTGGGCGGAGACATCTCAGCAAGGTGAATCTGCAACCCACCCCCCCTCCGGACTCCACCTGCAGTTGAATACCCGATCGCAACCAAAAATTGATAAAAGTGTTGCCCCAACCAGAACTGTTTTACTGTTTGGTGGACCCTGGGGGGCTAAACCGTCAAATGGGCCACCAAGAGTTCTCGGGGTCCCCATTACGGGGGCTCCCATTAACGGGGGGGCTAGGGTACCCGGAGCAGCCCCGTCATGGGGTATAAATATAGAAGGTGACGTGTTCGGCGTCTGTGCAGACTGGAGACGGACGGGCTGGGGACACTGTAAACAAGATTCCGTGCTCCGATCCCCCCCCTTCCCCGGGACCCCCAATGCAGCCACCGACCACACCACACACAGTACAGCACACACACCCTTTAGTTACCCCCCCCATCCCGGGCCCTTCTGTTCCATAAACAGCCCAGCTAGTGGGAACCGGTTAGGGCCCGCCGTCCAGGAATACCCCTTCCGAAAATAAACCTGTGCCCCCCCCCATCTGTGGGCACCCAGAGCATGGGGTCACCCTACCTGGAACGATCTTCATGAGAGGGCTCGGGCTGGGAGCTGCGGGCCGGAGCGGAGGG